GTTATCTCCTCTGGATAATTTTGGTTTGAAGTATACTTTATCATAGATAAAGCATAGCTATTCCTGTTTTGTTTTAGCTTCCATTTGCTTGACTTACCTGTATTCTTTGACTCTCAGTTTGTGTATGTCTTTGCCAGTGAGATGTGTTGCTTATGCATAACAAATATTTGAGGCTTGTTTTTTTAATCCAATAAGCTAATATACATTTTCTTATTTTACTGTGTGTGTATGCATGGTGTGTGTGTGTGTGTGTGTGTGTGTGTGTGTGTGTGTGGTGTGTGTGTGGTGTGTTTGTGTGTGTGCATGCATGTGTGCATATTCATGAGGTCAGAGGAAAACTCTGGAGTGCTCTCCTTTCACCTTTACCTGGGTTCCAGGGGTCAAATTCAGGTTTCCACATTTATGTAGCAAGTATTTTACCCACTAGTCTGCATCTTTTAGTTAGAATTAAGACTATTTACATTTAGTGCTATTGCTGAGGAGGATCTGCTGATTTCTGTGATTTTTGATTGATTTCTGGTTGATTGTTATTGTTTGTTCTTTCCCTTTGCCTCAAGTGTATTAGATGCTAGCTGGTTTACTGAACCGGATGTAGTTATTTCCCTTCTGGTTCTTTTTTCATTTATTTTCTCATGAAGTTTGTTCTTTCTCGTATACTCATGGTCAAGACTGTTTCCCTTTCACTTCTATGTAACTTTTCCTGTGTGAAATGGAGATATAAAAACTACAGGTCAGGGCTGATGAGACGGATCTTGTTGTGCAAGTACAAGGACTTTGTTCAGAGCCCCAGAGCCACATGAAACTGCAACACACACCTGCAACCCCAGGGCTTCTGTGCTGAGACTCCTCAGAAGCTCACAGGTCTGCTAGCCTGGCATATGCCGTGGTGAATAACAAGAGATACTGCCTCAAACAAGGTGGAAAGCAAGGACTGACAGATGAGGTTGTCTTCTGACCCCCACATGTGTACCATGGTTTATGCATGCTTACACACACACACACACACACACACACACACACACACACACACACACACACACACACGGACATAGACACACATGGACACATGGATTAAATAGGATAATCTATGTAAATGCCAGGTAAAGAAAAAAATTTGAATATAGAGGTTCCTTGTTTCACCATAGGTCCCAGTCAACCATAGCTGCTAATCTGATCGCTCGAATATCCATTCCGTGTAAGCAGCACAGCACACTGCAGAGCATTGGTTGTCTCCCTTGTATTGCAGGGTTGATGGAGCTGCAGCTTTCTGCGACTGCCTAACGGCAAAGGAGAGGATGAGACTGTGTGCTACTCCCTCCAAAAAAGACCTGGATTAAAAACTTGAAGTATGATTTCTACTGAATGTGTTGCTTTTTCATGATAGTAAAATTGGAAAACCACTGGTTCAGCCACCATCATGACAGGGACCATCTGGTAAGTCTCCCTCCCTCCACTGAGAAAGCTCATCGGGTCTGCAATCCTTTAGTGTGCATAATGTGCATGCTTCTGGCTGGTTGGCTCCCTTCCTCAGAAACCCTCTTGACGACACCTTAGGTATTCATAACACTGACTACCTGTACCATGTCTTTGTAGCTTTGCTGAGGACAGTGGCTCTCATGGTTCATTGCTTCACTCATGGTAGTGCTTCTTGTGGCCTTTTGTTTTAAAGTTGAAATGAAGGGCAGGCACATCATATTGGTGTCAGTCAGAGGCAGGAATACTGGCTTCCCCTCACAAAATGTATAGGGACTTAGAGCTTCAATGGATAGCTTCATTTACTGATGGATAATGAAAAAAATCTCTCTCTCTCTTTTTCCTTTTCTTTATTTTTCTCTCATATAATACATCCCAACCACAGCCTCCCTTCCATCCCCTTCACCTCCCCTTCCCCACCTCAGGTCCACTGCTCCTCTGTCTCCCTTCAGAAGAGAGCAGGCCTCCCAGTGATACCAACCGAACATGGCATAACAAGATACAATACAACTCGGCACAAACCCTCAAGGGTGGGCGAGGCAACCCAGTAGGAGGAAAAGGGTCCCATGAACAGGTGAAAGAGTCAGAGACAACCCGACTCCCACTGTTAGGAGTCCCACAAAAGCTCCAAGCCAAACAACCACAGCTTGTACGCAGAGAACCTAGCGCAGACCCATCCAGGGTCCGTGACTGCTGTGTCAGTCTCTGTGAGCCACTATGAGCTCTGCTTAGTTGATATCATGGGCTGTGTTCTGGCATCCTCGATCCCTCTGGCTCTTAGAATCCTTCCTCCCCCTCTTCTGAGGGTGTCCCTGAGCTCTGCCTAGTGTTTGGATGTGGATCTCTCTCTGCATCCGCCCCAACCAATTGCTGGAGGAAGCCTCCCTGATGAAAAATGTCTCTTCTACTGGTTCAAGGGCCCCGACCAGCACCATTGTCCCTGTGTTAAATTATTATGCTAGTTGGTTCAGTGAATATAAACCTAGAATCTGAGGGATTGAGCACGTGATTTGAGTATGAAGTGGTATTGGTCCCTAGAGGTTTGCCTTTCACCTCTGTCTTACAAACAGCTTTGGTAACTTGCCAGGCAGTTTTTTTTTTTCCTTCCAGATACTGTTGCATACACAGTCTATGTTTCTTCTGGGCCTCTACTTCCCACACTGGTACTTAGTTTATTATGATCACCTCTCTTTCATGATGAGACACACTCTCAGATGACAGACTATGTTAAGTGATTATTTTCCTTGTGTTAGCACCACAGATCTAGACAGAAGAAGTCAATTACTCAATCTGGCCTCTTGGTGTACTCCTCAAAGGTAAACATGTATGACCTGCTATCAGCATACGCTATGTAATGTCTCAGTAAACTTGTAAGTAGGGTATGCTTTCCAATAAGAAATACAGTGAATACACAGCTGATAACAGTCATGTATTAGCAAGTGTGCTATTCTGGACATAGTAGTATGTAATAGACTGGCAGTGTAGTAAGTATATTTATATCAGCATTACCACCTACACATGAGGAATACATTGTACTAAGGCATTATAAAGGCTTTGTTGTCACTAGGTGACAAGAATTCCTTGGCTCCATTATAACCTGCTGGGCCACTGTCATCTAAGCACCCTTTCCTCGGCTAACACATCATTACATAATGTATGGCTATACTTACTTAGAGACTGTGGATCAGCACCCGGAATTTGGAGATGCAAGAGTCCCCCTGATGTTGGAAAAGGGGACTGTAGTTTGAGTCAGAGCAATCTGTGGCAGTTACTAATCTCTTCTGTTAGTTGCTTATCCAGCACACGAAGGTAAGGGCATCTTTGATGCAGATGCAGCATGTTTCTTCCCTGCACTCTCCTGCCCAGGTACTACCCACGCTGTATTATTTACTCCTGTACAGATTCATTTAATTTTTATGGAGAGATGGAATGGCTCCTTGCCATGTGTTGTGTGCATGTCTGCATCTCTTCTAGTTCAGCTGTCAACTTCACAAAACCTGGAGTTAACCGAAGGAGTCTCAATTAGGAGATTGCCTTTCTCAGACTGGCTTAGGAGCATGTCTGTGAGGCATTTTTTAGTTGGTAATTGAGGTAAGAGGGCCTAGACCCCTGTGGATGGTGCCCATCTCTGTGCTGTCTAAGAAAGTTAGCTGAAGTAGTTTGTTGACAGAGAAATCTCCTTGCTGAGAGGCGAGGACAACAGAACCCTTACCTGCGGGTGTAAGGATAACTATTTAGAACGTAGTTAGGGATTATGCTGGTTTACTAAAGTGCCAGTTGTAGGTTCCCCTCCAAGATCCATGACTTCACTAGTCCTGGGTAGTTGGCTAGGTTTCCAGCGCCAGGCATTGTTTCCCTCTTGTTGAGTGGGTCTTAGGTCTGGTTAGAGAGCTGTTGGTTATCACCAAGATATGTGCGCCACTACTGTACCCTTAGGGTCATGGTGCCACACTGGCCATGGTTGTGGCTCATAGGCAGCAGAGCTGTGGAGACGATTGGTTGCTTCCCTTCTTTGAAGCTCCCATGTCACCATCTGGTACTATGAAAGCTAGTCCCTGAGGAGGCTTTCAAAACCAGTTCTGGCTCAGGGGCCTCTGGGCCCTGTGTCTGATGCTGAGAGGGAGAAACAGTCTTCTTCAGAGACGAGCACACCAGCTAGTTATCCAGTACCAAATGGTCAGCCCTGCAAGCATTCATACAAGTAACACTATATGGACTGAACGGGTTATATTTATGTATTTTGGAATGTGTGTGTATATATATATATGCATATATACATACATACATATACACACGTATATGTATATGTATATGTATATGTATATGTATATGTATATGTATGTAAGTCTAAGTGTACTCCTGGAAAGGAACTAAAGACACTACTGACTCCTTGCCACGATGGCATCTATAGCTGCTGCTTCTTGTCCAACTAGTCAACTTCCAGCATGTGCTTGGTACAGATCGTGTTCAACTTCACTGCTGGCCACAACTTCTTGAGCTCCTCAGTGCTCAGTCCTGATATACACAGAGCCTGTGTCCCCCAAGTAACAGAAGGTGACAAGCACGAGTCTTGGGCATGTAGGCAATGCCTTTGTGGTGGTTTGGATGAGAATGCTCCCCATTGGCTTGTATGTCTGAATGCTTGGTTCCCAGTTGGAGAACTGTTTAGGAAGGATTAGTAGGTATGGCCTTGTTGGAGAAGGTTTATCAATGAGTATAGGCTTTGAGGTTTCGAAAACCACACCAGGTTCAGTCTCCACCTTTCTCTTCTTACAACTGGCAGATCAGATGTGAGCTCTCAGCTTCTGCTCCATTACCATGCATTCGTGCCTGCCTGTTGCCATGCTTCCCACTATGATGATCATAGATGAATCCTCTGAAACTGTAAGCAAGGCCCCAGTTAAACGCTTTCTTTTATAAGCTGCCTCAGTTATTGTCTCTCCACCGCTCTCTCAATTCTGCCCCCCTCTCAGACTCACATCTTCTGCCTCAACCGCATTGTTCCCGCTATTGAGACACACAGCCTCTCCATGGTCATTTTTATTGAAAGACTCAGAAACACAGGCATCATAGTTTGCCACTACTGTCAATTCATCCAAAATTACATACTGACATTGGTGTATAATAGAAACATGTGGGGTTGGGGACACGTGCTTGCACGTGTGTGTTTGTGTGTGCTTTGTACAAAGTACAAGGGCTTCTGAGTCTACTGGAATGGTTTTACAGTGCCCAGCCTTGTATTCACACCCCACTACAGACCATCTTGTCCATCTCTCTTGTTCCTTCCGTCAGTCCTCTTGGGGCTAGACTGTCCTGTCTCCTTGGTGACCCTCAATCTGAAGGGCTGGGAACTATTCAAGGAAAATCACCTGGCCACCAAATACTACTTACTGTGTGAGTAAGAAGTACATGCTGCTGGCCAGGATGGAATGTGAAGATTCTAGATGAGGCGCTGGCTTCATTTTGGTAGCCAAGACATGTGTCCTCAAGGGAAGATGACCTTAGGAAAGGTACCTCTTTTCTGTTCTTGACTGTGGAACACATGATTTTGAAAGTTAAAGGGCTCGAGAGTATTCAAAATACTCAGACCATGGGGCTCATTGTGTATTTTAAAAAGCCCCATCTGGGAATGAGCCCTAGGGCCCTGTTTCGCTCCCCAAGGTAGGTCCTGCATAAACCCATGACTTGGTGGTTAGGAGAGGGTCCAACTGATGTTTTCCAAAGACAACTTGATACTTTCCTTAGCTCTCTATCAAGCTGCTACCACCTGACCTCATGAAGCAGCCCTCAGGAGAAAAGAGGACAGGTCAAAGTTGTCTTATTCTGTTGACTTCAAGTCAATCTTGTTGAGGAGAGAAAAAGGGACTTTTATTGTCTGGAAACTGGAGTGAGTTCTGGTTCCACTGAAAATACATCTCCCCCAGGATGTAGATTTGTGTACCTCCTTGGTGATATCATGGATTTAACCATACACAGATCTTTTGTGCATGGATGGGCAAGTAATTCAGCAGTGACAGTGACTAGATTGCTTGTGGATGTCACTCACCCTGCATACAGGGATCTCTGTGCCTAAGCTAGAGTTTCTCTTTGGCTCAGAACAGTTTTCTTCTGTTTAGTTAGTCTATTATCATGGAGGAAGAGACTTTCCCTAGGCATCACTGCTTCCACATGGCAGTCACCTGGCAGCCACAACTAGTTAAGTCATATCCTCAAATAGGAACATTGAGAAGTGGTCCTTATTTTCTTACGAAAACTAGTGATAGCCTCTGCTACCAAAGGCTTGACACAGGTCTGGGTGATTTTGTAAAAATGTACAGAGGCTCACAAATTGCTATTTTGAGATGAAAAAAAAATATGTTTCTAAAGTGTGACACTCACTCCTCTTGATAGCCAACCTCTTGGGAAGCAAGCTGTTGCTTCAGTGAACTTTACAGGAAGGCCTGAGGGCCAAAGGAACCATCCTGCTGCTTTTTCCAGTGGCTCCCGGCCCTGTAAGCCTGTAGTCATGCATCAGATTCCTCTTAGCACTGTACCTTTGGTCTCTAGCAGATGGAATTTTGCCTGGCCTGATAGGGGAAGTGACTTGTTTTTGAAATGGAGAAAAAAAAAACCTTTGCAAGGTAGCGATCTGAGCTGTTGTAAAAGCTGCATTTTGGCAGCAAGACATGCTTTAAGAATGCTATTTTTAGTCATTCTCTCTAAAGCAGTCAAAGGAAGTTTTAGGGGTCAGTGTGTGCGTGTGCGTGTGCGTGTGTGTGTGTGTGTGTGTGTGTGTGTGTGTGTGTGTGTGTGTGTTTTCTTGCCACACAAAAAGGCAGTATAAATTCCTCAAAAATGTTTCCAATTTTAAAAAAAATCACTCCTATCTAGATGGAGCATGTGGTTTAGGCTAGTTCCAACAGCCGGGAAAGACACTCTCCAACTCCACATGACCATCTCGGCAGACTCTGTCACCTCACTGAGCACCAGCCAATGTTTTGATATTACAGAGAGGAATTCCTCAATGTGCTCCAAACTTCAGATGGGAAATATATAAAACTTTCCTTTGATGTTACTCATGCTTTTCCTTGAAGCTTACCCAAGGGATTTCTAGTTTTACAAAAAATCAGCACCAGATGTATGAAAAATACGCAGCGTCTGACCTATTAGAAATATAGAAAGTCTAGGAGTTGTACATTAAAAAGGTGCCATAAGAAGGGGTAATGCAGACAGTGGTAGTGAAACCAAAAGGTGTTCCTTCTTATCCCGGTAGGAGACAAAGCTGTAAGAACTCTGCGGTGCCCGACAGGACCCCACTGGGCACCTTGGGAGACTCGGAGCCCTTACATGAGGCTCCTGAACCATGAATGCCCTGGATGTGAGGCTTGATGGCAGGTGACAGAGGTATATAGAGGAATGATACCCAGGGGAGCCAGGGAAGTTACTCGCCATTGCTGTCAGCCCTCGCACATGGCCCCACCTTGGACCCTCCCACGCTCCCAGCCTTGCACAGACAGCGATTACTGCGTTAGCCGCTGGCTGGCATAGAGTGCATTGGTCCACATGGGCAACGTTTTCCATTGTACTGCTCACTGAAATTCAGGCATGGTCTTGAAGGACACGCATGTGTGCTTTCAATAAGGACTTCATATGAGGGTATGGCCTTCACAACCAAGACGACATCCCTGTGTGCTTTCAGTTAGGACCTCACGCGAGAGCATGGCCTTCACAACCGAGTCATCACCCCAGTCCAGTTGTTCCTGGCAGGTGTTTTAGAAAGGCCCAGGGACCTAGGTGATGAGGCTTCCTCTGCTCACATAGTGTTTTCTTGGGTCCCTCTCCTGGATGGCAGGGCTGGACATGAGCGACGGCTTTCAGAAGCTCTCCACAAAGCTGCCTGGGAAGAGGCCCGTGCGGCCATTCCGCTGCAGAGTCCCCTTGAACCAGCCATCCTCATGCTTCTTGTGCACGAAGACAATATCGCCTTCCTTTAGTTCAATCTCTGCTTCACTCTGGGGTGGGTAGGAGACCACCACACGGTACCTGGGAGGACAGAGGAACAGCATGTGAACTGGGGGGTGAGGGGTGGAGGGTGGGGGGAGCTGTCCCTCTTGTGGCCTAGAATCTACCTGCCCACTTGGAGCTCTCTGTTCCCTCTTCTAAGTTCTTACAGTGTGGGGTTACCTTTCACTTTTTGTAAAATTATTATCTTTTTTAAGTTTCCCCAAAGCTCTTGAATTTGTTATCTAATCTCCCTCAGAGCTGTTGGTCAGGGAGCCATCCGGGCATCTAAAACAACACAGGCAATTGCCATTGCAGTTGGCTGCCACCAGAAAAGATACTCCCATGCTCTACCTGTGCGACATAGAAAGCCCAAGCTGAAACTGATGTGGAAGCTTCTTCCCTATTGGCTAGCACTCACAGTATTGCGAGGCACTGTACTAGGCAGGGTACCACAAGGAGAACTGTGGTCAACAGTCTTACTCGGTTATGGACCTGGCATGCCTCACTACCACCTGGCCGAGCACAATGTGCCAGCTGGCTCAGTAGGGACAAGTCAACAATGGGGCACTTCCTGCTTGGAGTTGAGGCCTGCTTCACAGGAAGGAATTGACAGCTTGTACTGTAAGCCTGGTCAACAGCCATCGGCTGGAGAAGTCACGGGCCCGAGTGAGGACGCCACAGTTACCGCTTTGTAAAACTGACAGGACATATTCATCAAATTGCCTTCTAAACAATTACAGCATTATGCTTATCCCCAAAGAGTAATGCTGTTGTCAGCTTTGGTCAAAGAGACGTTTCCCCCAGTGGGCAGTGGTAATTGCAGAGACTTGTACTTGGTCACAATGCTCAGAAAACGTAATTGTTGAATGCTTAGCCATAAGTGAGATCCGTCTATCTCCTCCTCCAAAGCTCAGGAAACATCACAGAAGTGAAAAGAGGCAGATAAGAGCTGGAGGGTGGTCAGAGCGCTGTGGAATGCTGTCTTCTGCACACTCTTTAAAAGTACTGTGTCTGTCCTTTGACACCTTCCCCCACACACATGAATTGTTGTCCTCTTCCTATAACCCGCTTTGTCCCCGCTTTCTCCCACTGATATTCTTCCCCTTCCCAAGTCCCCTTCATGTCTTTTGTGTGTGTGACCGACTGGGAATCAACAGAATGGAACTGTGGCCCTCTGGAGCTTGCAACAGCTAAGACACCTGCCTAAAACCTATAAGATTGGGTCCATCAACATCCTGTGATGCAGGGGGCACTCACAAGGACCCATCTATTGCTAACGATTTATAGGCAGTTAATGGTTGCTGGGAGATGGAGAGATGTCGTCTTAATGGTGTAGTCTCCAGTAATGTGCCAGTGATCCTTCAGATAACCTCTCAACAAGCAACCCTAATAAAACTGATGGGATAACCACAAAGACACAAAGACTATGAGAGAGGAGGAGCTGGCTGGGATGAGAAAGGGGGTCAGCTAGAGAATGACAGGGGACACAACAGTTCAAAGGGGGTAAGTATCAAAATGTGTCATATGTATACAAAGTGATAAATGGCCTACATTAATTCCATGTAAGAGGCTTCCTTTTTAAAAAAGGAAGTTCCCTTGGTGTCCTTTTAGACACAGATCTAAGGCACAGCTGTCTTATTGTTTAGTTAGCAGACCTCTAGATAGCCCCTCCATTTCTTATCATCCCTCCTACCTGTGCTGGTCTCCTATCTGGAGGTCTCCCCTAGTGAACTCAAGGCTGTACCTGGACAGCCATGGCCTCTAGGGAGCAGGGACTGCTCCAGGCCCGGGACAGCCATGGCCTCTAGGGAACAGGGACTGCTCCAGGCCCGGGACATAGGCTGGGCACTTGGCTTTGGGACCTTCGTGTCATAACCTGTCCATGTGCCAGGTTCTCCATCTAAAGCTCACGGCTCCTCTCCTGGACTACTACCTCTCAGGTGGAGGTAGCTGGGGCCCCATTTGGTCTGGAGGGTGCCTTGAAGTTTGCTTTGGAGTGAGTGGTCATCGTTTTTAAATTGTAAGGTGTACAGCCTCAGGCTGAACTGGCTGAAATCACATGATTGGTGATAGAAAGGCCCAGTTTCTCCTCACCTCTTTTCTACAAGACCTGGGCAACCTGCAACACCCAAGGTCTCAAGGTCCTGTTTTCCGATCACCATGACAAAATGAAACCAGAGAAGGTGCCTTCAATGCTTCTGCCGACCAGCTGCCTCAAGAGCATGCTGCTGGCCACAGCTCTACCTGGGTGAAGCGCTGAGGGTGCTCTAGGCTGTGAAAGGCTTCCCTAAATATGAGAGCAGAGTTGGACCCCTGGGCCCTCACCTTTCTGAGAACCCAGAGCCTTGCAGTCAGCATGGCGTTTGCCCTGACCGACACTTGGCTGTGGCCCTAACAGCACTCCTCCTCCACAAAGCCCCAGCCAACTTCTCTGAGCCATCCTCGTCCTAAGCCCTACTGTGCTATACAGATTTTTAGCCTCACAGGGCTGAATCCCCAGCTGGCCCTAGCGTCCCTTAACACGCCTTCCCCAAACTATACTCCAGCAGCAGCCGGATCGCGCCCTTCTGACCTTCCAATGAGGCGGGTCCCAGTTCAATCCGGACACCAGCCTAGATGCCTTCTCAGGGGCTAACACCCCTTTCTGCTTTCTGTGAATGTTCACACTTCGGGCTCTCCTGAACTCACACTCACCCTTCCCTGTTCCCTTGGAGATGCCTAGACACCTGGGTGTGAATTGGGGTTCTATTCACACTAGACTTCCCGGCCGTGAAGTGTAGTGTGTTGGTGGTTATGATCTGCAGGAGGCTGGAGTAGCGGTTCTCTGAGGACCGACCGGCTGCCTTCTCAGATACTGATGCTTATCCGCTGTCTACCTCTCAGTCCTTGACAGGATGCCCCTGCCCTCTTCCTTCTGCTGCTGGCCCCTCTGGTATCTGGGTAGCTTTGTATGGCAGCTGTCTGACCCCGGTACCCCAAGCCTTGGGCCAGGTGACAGTTGTAGCCAGCAGATAAGAGGAGGGTGGTCTCCTTCAGGAGCCGTCTGTGTGGCTGTGGGCGATAGGCTGGGGCCAGCTCAAAGAATATTGTACCCTCACCCCCACAACCTAGCTAGTGGGGCCACAGTAGGAGGGGGCAGCAGTATTGACCTCTCTATTCTATTATAAATAAGAATTCCTGGGGAAGCATGAGCTGTGTGCTCAAAGGCTGACCGATTAAAACTTCAGTGATGGTGTCTTTGGAATGGTGTAGGCCCAGAGCCTAATTCGTTCCTCTTGGGCTATCTTCAGCCCCAGTAAAGCACCTTCCCTTGTCCATCTCTGTGTCAGACCTGCTCCAATAAACAGATAAAAATCTTTAGGATGTATTGACTTAACAAAACCCTATTCCTCATCAACCAAAGGGCTAAAAATGCTATCAGGGAGCATCTGAGGCCTACAGCTGAGATTTCTCTGCCTGACTGCAAACCGCCTCTCTGATGTTTCCGCCAATGTATTTTTAAAAATGCCTTGACTTATGACTTTCTCTTTTCTGTTATTGTAAAAACTTCATGGAGCTGTTTCCACATTGGAACACGGTATTTTGGGAGACCTAAATCTGTCTTCCCGGGCCATGGTCACTCAACTTTGGCTCCATAACAAACCATTCCCTTAGAGGTAAGAGTGCCTTTTGTGTAATTACTATGGTTGTCCAGGCCGAGAAGATCAGGGAATGTGATTTGAAGACTCTGAGGAGGCCCAGCACAGGTCCAGGCTGTCAGAAGTTTTTACATCTTCAGAGGGTTTCCTTCAAAAGAGTCCTGCATGGGGAAGCCTAGGAAGGCTGGGGAGGAGCCTAATCTTTCTAAGTCCAAGACTCAGAGGGCCTCTGCACATGCAGGAGGCGCTGGCCCGGTCTCAGAAGCTGCACAGTGAGCACCGTGCATAGACTTACGGGCCCGGAATCCCTGTCTGAGCTGGAGTTGTGCTAGCCGTGGGAGCTGGATCATACATCTTCAGTTCCTCCACTTAAGCTCCCCAGATACCGTAGGGTAGCCTGTGGCCATTCTCTCTTCACTTCTGTCCAGATGGAGCCATGGAGCCCTTTAGAGGACTCTGAATACTCTTATAGTTGGTTTCAGTGTCAACCGGCTACAAATTAGAATCACCTGAGTAGGGAGCCTCGCCTGAAGAACTGTCCTGATCATCTTGATTGACGTAGGCAGGCCCGCCCCCACTGTGGGCAGTGCTTTGAGGCAGCAGTCCAGATAGAAAGGGTATTTAAGAAGGAAGAACATCTCGCCCTTGGCTTGCTTGGCCTTCTCCTTTCTGCCGAGTTACCGGCCCTGTTGCTGCCATTGTTGCTGATTTCCTTGCTGACTGCAGAACCAGTGTTTCCAAACTTATATCACTGACTAAGAACCAGGGGTTCTCCAGGAACTTTCTGGACTAGTGAGGCACCTGCTTTGTGGACTGAGTGCTCTGACCATTGAGGCACCCAACCTCAAAGACCAGCTAATTACTAGGCTCTTAATATCTCAGCTCACTTAATACACTCTGATTCACATATATTTATATATATGTGATTATATATACATTCATCCCCTTGTTCTGTTCCTCTAGAGAACCCTGATGAAAACAATTACCCTATGAGCTTAGACTCTGTGGTCAGAAAGCCCTCTCGGTTAAACCTCTCATCCAGCTGCTAGCCAGCTGTGGAACCATGAGCAAATTTCTTAGGCTTTTACAGAACATCAGTTACTTCATCAGGAAATGGGGATGCTGAATTAGTAAGATTCATAAGGGGATTCAATGGATAATGCACATATTGTACTCAGGAAATGCAGATGTGTATAAACTACATGCAGAGCCTGGCCAACCTGGTGTCAACGGCAGGACCTCATGCCAACTGTGAATGTTTTGAGTACCAGCCTTTCACAGAACCTTCAGCAGATGTTCGCCACAATCACTATAACTGCAAATGTCAATACAGATGTACATCTTAATTGGTCATTAGAAGTCAGTGACTGGTTCACGGTGTCCCTCCAGGGCCCTCAAGAGATTGTTCTCCCCATGGCCCAGGATCTAACAGCACCGTAGATGTAGCTCAAAATCATCTAGAACTGTAGTTTGTGGCTGTGTGGCAGCAGAGCTATGGATGTTACTGTGTTTTCTATATGGTTAAAAATGATTCCAGAGATTTAACATTAGAAAGCTGCAAGAAATCCTAATTTTGGTCATAGCAGGGGGCTGCTGGGAACACCAAGCCATGTGCATCCAGTTCGTGGCAACCTTCCTATTGCACAGCAGAGTGCCGTGGACATCGTATAGTCCACAGCATCAGTGGTATTTACTCTCTGGCCTTTGACAGGAAGCCTGGATGACCCCTTGTCTACCCACTGCCTGGCTCATGGAGGTATGGTCTGAGGTGAGCATGTAGAACAGCAGCTGTGTTCTCAGCTCAGGTAACAGGTGACTGAGCAGTGGAGGGACGAACAGAAATGCCATTGTTGCTCTCAGGATATGGTTTTGTGTGTTTGTTATCTAAGCAGTACTCTAACTAGTAGAGACTGGGCAGGGTGGCACCTATCATATCCCCACAAGGCCTTCCTGGTTAGTTGTAAGCTCAAACACACAGATCCTTTCACAAAGATAGACATCCTACTACTTAGAAAACTTGTACAATCTATTGCCCCTCAGCCTGTGACCTCAGCAGGCCATATCACTGTGGCTCAGTTTCCAAATCTGTAAAACTTGAGGTTGAATTACATTAACTTGCTAGTTTGGATAAAAAAGGATGAGTATTGGCAGTTCTGAATGGTTTGACCTTGAAGATAACATAGAATAACATAGAACAACACTTCATAACACTAAAATGTCACAGTGTTCTGAGGTTTAAAGAACTGCTTTTCTGAGTGAATGAATGAGGCTCATGCCCACAGGGGACTCTGGAAGAGTTCATTTGAGGGTCTCAAAGGTTAAGAACCCAGTGCTCTGGGCCACAGCGGTTTGGACGTTTCTTCAGGGAAATGCCCATTTACAAGCCCAAATCCAGGAAGGAAAGTGTGGTAGTTTGAATGTAATTGGCCCCCATAATCTCAAGGGAGTGGCACTATTAGGAGGTGTGGCTTTGCTGGAGTGGGTATGGCCTTGTTGGAGGAAGTGTATCACTGTGGGGGCAGGCTTTGAGGTTTCCTATGCTCAGGATACTGTTCAGTGTCTCAGTCAACTTCCTGTTGCCTGCAAGACTCTTGGCTCTGTCTGCCTGCATGCTGCCAAGCTCCCCACCATGATAATAACAGACTGAACCTCTGAGCCACCCCAGTTAAATGTTTTCCTTCTAAGAGTTGCTATGGACATGATGTCTCTTTACAGCAATAAAAGCCCTAACTAAGACACAAGGCAGGTTGGGAATAAGGAATATACCCCAGGGCCTGGGTAAAGAGGGATATCTGATAAGCTCAACCTCTGGGAAACTCCATTTTGCCCAGTCCCCAAGAAGGTTCCAGAACTCAGGTGTTAGCCCTAAAGGGAGGACGGAGATAAAAGCCTTCGGCTCCTTACCTCTCTCGGGGCAGTGGCTTAGGTTCGGGGCGGAGGGAAGCCATGGACAGAGCTGATTGCCGAGAAGGAGACAAAGAGAAATTCAGATCCAAGGAGCCGGCTTTTCTGTGCAGTGGCTCCAAGCCAATGGCCCCCTGCATCTCACTCTCTATGGGGCAGGAACCTGCCCTGCCATGGACGGTCACTGGGGACACTTCAGGGCCCATGGCACCCTGCAGTGAGGTATCCATGGCTGCCTGGGGGTCGTGGGTTGGAGATACAGATGGTGGGGAGCGGGACTTCTTCTTGGTAGATGCCCCAGCCAGCAGCTTCAATAGCCCGCTCTTCTTCTCCTTCTGCAGAAACACACACAGTTAAACAGGGTATGTTAGCATCTCTGGGAGGGCCGTCCTGTGGAGACCTTAAATAAAGATAGTCCTGTAATCGAGTCAGAGGAAGACAACCAAGACAAGCCTGAACACCTTAGTTTTCTTTCCTGAGACCTGGACGGAGTGGCTCACAAGGCCAGCTCCCATGGAAAGTTTGCAGGCTAGGGACCCACAGACAGGACTCCCCATGACAGGACCCAATAGGCAACTTCATGGGCTGTGTCTGAGGAACCCAGTCAGGGTGACTGCTTTGCTCTGCAGGGGAGATGTTCCTAGTGGGGCTGCTCATAAATCTGAGAGGAGGGCTGGACAGTCTTCATGTCATATACTACTACTCTTTTATAAAAGTTAAAGAAAATTGCAGGACTTTTAGCCCAGCTGGGAGGGTAATTATTCTGCACAGGGCATGCAGACATACAGTCCCTCATCCAAGGGTGAGCTACAGCATGTGTCTTTGGGACAACTGGTTTAGAACCCTTGGGTAGTTAAACTTTCCTCCACACAAACAGTGGTGGAGTATGTATATGTGTGCATGGATGTGAGTGTGTGTGTGCATACACGTGTGCATATACATACAGTATGTATAGTGTATATATATACTGTGTGTATATATATAGCGTGTGTATAATATATGCACATAGTGTATACAATGTGTGCATATATAGTGTTGTGTATATAGTATATGTGTAAATATAATGAACGTATAATATATGTGTATAGTGTGTGTACATAATGTATATGTATGTGTGTATATATTGTGTGGTGATATTGTGTTCCCCAAAATATTGTGCACCCTGATAAACTTATCTGGGGTCAGAGAACAGAACAGCCACTAGACAGACATAGAGGCCAGAAAATGGTGGCACTCACACCTTTAATCCTACAATTCCAGAGGCAGAAATCCATCTGGATCTCTGTGAGTTCAAAGCCACACTGGAGACAGCTAGGCATGGTGACACACGCCTTTAATCCCAGGAAGTGATGGCAGAAAGCAGAAAGGTATTTAAGGCATGAGGACCAGGAACTAGAGCTGGTTAAACTTTTAGGCTTTTGAGCAGCAGTTCAGCTGAGATCCATTCGGATGAGGATACAGAGGCTTCCAGTCTGAGGAAACAAGATCAGCTGAGGAACTGGTGAGGTGAGGTGGCTATGGCTGGTTCTGCTTCTCTGATCTTCCAGCATTCACCCCAATACCCTGCTCCAGGTTTGTTCTTATTAATAAGACCACTTAAGATTCATGCTACAAGCCGGGCGGTGGTGGCGCACGCCTTTAATCCCAGCACTCAGGAGGCAGAGCCAGGCGGATCTCTGTGAGTTCGAGGCCAGCCTGAACTACCAAGTGAGTCCCAGGAAAGGCGCAAAGCTACACAGAGAAACCCTGTCTCGAAAAACCAAAAAAAAAAAAAAAAAAAAAGATTCATGCTACAATATTGTGTCTATAATATGTATATATGTAATGTGTATCTATGTATATAGTATGAATGTGTATATAGTGTGTATAATGCATGTATATGTACAGTGTGTGTATATATAGCATGTATAAGGTGTATATAGTGTATACATAGTATGTATATGATGTGCATATATATATATATATATAGTGTGTGTGTGTGTGTGTGTGTGTGTGTGTGTGTATGTATAATGTGTGATTTTAAGTCTCACGTTGTGCAGTATCACAGGTCTATCTGGCCAGTAACTGAAACGTGGTTATCTGAAGGCTTCTGGCTCTGCTGATGTGCAGTGTTTGGGGTGCTCTGTTGTCACCTGGACAGTGATCCCCCTTCACTATCCAGAGGGCCATGAGCCCGCACTTGGGGACCTTGAGCATCCTTCTGAGCTCTGCACAGTCTCATGGTAGGTGATCATGAGAAGCTGCTGACCCACTCACTGGAACTGCAGGACTGTGGAGAGGTTGGGGTGTTGCAGGTCCCTTTTCTTGGGCTAGCATTATCCCCTAGAACAGCCATTCATTCTCCACCTCTGTGTCAGAAGTAACATCCTGTGACTAATAGACGAAAACCTTTTGGAATCTATTAACTTAGCAGACTAGGGGCTTCCACCATCCCATGGCCAAGCATGTCATCAGACAGCATCTTAGGCCTACAGAAGACCTTCTCCCGTATTCCATAACCATCTCTCTCATATACTCACTAATGCATTACAAACTGACCTTGATTTATGACTTTCTTTGCTTGGTAAGGTTATAAAACTTATCAAACTGCTTCCACATTGGAATATGGACTTTAGAATAACTTAAATAAATCTGTGGTGTTCCTGGGCATGGTCACTCAAAATGGTCCCAGAATAAACTTATTCCCTTGGAGCTGAGAGCTGTTTTTTGTTTGTTTCTTTGTTTTGCAACAACAGTATCCAGTCATGGAGGGCTCAGGATCCCCCTACTTAGAGAACATCATAGAAAGGCAACCTCCAGTCAGCTAGTGCTCTCTCTATGTTACACATTCCTACATTGCTCAGGACTCCCTGAGCTGGGTTTTCTTCTCTTCTTCCTGTGTGTGTCCGTCCCAGAGTGGGGCCTCGGGCACTTAATGCCTGATTCTCCTGCAGCCACATAGCCTAGCTTCCTCCAAGAACTCTGCCTAAAGTTGGTGTGCATTCATCCAGGCCCTGGGAGCTGTATGGGAAATGGAGAATGAAACCTTAGTCATCGGTTATACGCATGCTTAGTTGGAGCGTTCACCATGCTGTCTGGGGGCTTAAGGTGTAGTGTTGCCAAGTTGGTGTCTACACAGACCATCCTGGTGGTATGGCCGGAGAGGGCAGTGTTCTCAGGAACAGTCACTGGAAACCGCATTAAGATAAAGGGTAGAGGGGATGCAGCAATTCAGATGGCTAGCCCTGGTCAAGGATGGAAGGACTACAGGGTCTGAGGAGGGGGCAGGCTCCCCCAGAAGGAGAGCAAAGCTTCCCAGTGGGGTGATCATGCCCAGAGAGGACAGGGGTCAAAGTCTGAGACTGTGTGAGTGGTCCAGATGTGTTGCTAATTGTCCTCCAGCACACAGCCCCAACATTCCAAAAGCTGAAATAGGCTGAGGATGTGAGGAAGGAAGCAGGGACCATCCAGATGTCTAGCCTAAGTCTATCACGTACTCTGATGGTGTGGCCCGCCTCTACTCTTAGTGAGGCAGGCGAAATCTAGCAGCCCGCAAAGACCCTGCTGTATGTCCTCCCCCACCCTCGACCATCTACGTTCCTTCACCCACTGGATTACCATTCATCCATCTCCTTTCCAGCTCCCCTCTGGAATACAAGCTTTGGAGAAGGGTAGGGGATATTTCATTGTGTTTACCACAGCACCACAGGACCTAATGCCTGGAACATAGCAGGCCCTCAGTACTTATTAATTCAGTGCAGTGCATTTAATGAACTAAGCTCCACATCAGACGACTTAGAATGCCTGAATAGAGAACACGCATGGGGGGCGTTCACAAGGCACTCAAGGCTGCGAGAGCCTTGACGTCATGTGCAGTGAACTGGAGGAAGGCACAGCCCTGCTACCTCACCCCACACCCCTGAGACTGTTGGTGACTGCATCCAGCTTAATGGTGTCTATTGGAAAGGGGCAGGGTGGCCACCTGTGTGAGTAATTTTCCTGCCTCAGTTCTTCAGGATTAAATGTGACTCAACGATTTTCTGAATTTAACTTGGACAAACACTGATTTCTTGAATGCAGAGATTTCTCCAAAATGTTTGCCTTCCGGAGTGGAATTCTGCCAGTGCCTGCAGTATCCAGTAATCCCTTTGCTGTGGGACTCCTCAGAATAGCAGCCATCACGCCTGTGCAGTTCACGGAATATGGTGGCAGATGTTCTAAACACTCCTTGGGAATCATCACATATGACACAGAAAAGGATTAACCAAGAGGCACTTTGCTATACGTGGTGGGGACAGATTCATGACTCAGTTTTGGGAGTATTATAGGGGAGATAACAGATTTCACAGGAATAGTCTGGACTAAGGGTTTATGTTCAAAAAAGGATGGACTGTAGGGTTTCTGAACAGTGAATAAATTACAGATTAATGAGCCTGGTAAGATGAGAATTCCATGTCTCCAACACAGTCATTCTTGATTCTTGGAGTCCATCTGATCCCTTTTGGAATTAGATAACATATCCCAGCAGCATCTCTGTGTGGCCAAGAGCCAATCAGAGGGTGTGGTTGATATATTGTACACCCCAATAAACTTATCTGGGGGTCAGAGAACAGAACAGCCACTATATTAAACATAGAGGTTAGGCAGTGGTGGCACATGCCTTTAATCCTAGCATTCAGGAGGCAGAGATCTGTCTCCATCTAGATCTCTGAGTTCAAAGCCACACTGGGAACAGAGCTAGGCATGGTGGCACACATCTTTAATTCCAGCACTTGACATCTCATGTCTTTTCTTGGGAAGGACACATGCCTTTAATCCCAGGAAGTGATGGCAGGAAGCAGAAAGGTATATAAGGCGTGAGGACCAGGAACTAGAGGCTTTTAAGCAGTTCAACTGAGACCCTCAGGGGTGAGGACTCAAGAGTATTTCAGTCTGAGGATGTGTGGAAACAGGATTGGCCGAGGAGTTGTCAAGGTGAGGTTGGCTGTGGCTTGTTCTGCTTCTCTGATCTTTCAGCATTCACCCCAATACCTGGTTCCGGGTTTTTTTTATTTAATAAGCCCATTTAAGATTTGTCTTACAAGAGGGAATCAAATGGTCTGGCTAGGGCAAAGGGCTGGAGGATAAAGGACTGGGCCAGGCTGGGGGCTTCAGCAGGAGGTGTGTTCAGAAGCCCCCACTGTCAAGATTTGCATATGCAAACATCTCTCCCTCTAGAGCAGTGGTTCTCAACCTGTGGGTTGCCTAAGACCATCCTGCATATCAGATATTTACATCACTATTCATAACAGTAGCAAAATAATAGTAACAATGAAAATAATTTTATGGTTTGGGGGGGTCACCACAACATGAGGAA